TATTAGTTGATCTGGAGTGAGATCATCCAGAGAGATTAATCGAAAAATTTCTATTGATCGGTAGAGGAAAAGTTTTGGAAATATCTGGATGCGCCTTAGCTTCTTTGAAAGTGAGGGTTTTATTTGCATCAAGAACGTCACCATCATACCACGAGCTTTCCAAAAATCAAATTTTTCCTTGGCCTATAATCCAACGACTATGAGTCTCCAAAATGTGAAAATGGTGATATACTTCGCGCCAAAGTATTGAGGCATGCAACGGAGGAGCATTCCCGAAATTATCACCATATTTAGCTCTAGCAAACCTTGTCCAAAGCGACGTCCCCTCAAGAACTTTCATTGCTAACTTGCCCGCTATAATATTTTTCATGTAAAAAAGGGATCTAAAACCTAAACCACCTTCCGTCTTTGGACGACATACTTTCTCCCAGCTAACCCAATGAATTCCTGGTCCTTCTTTTTTGCCCCATAAAAATTTCCGAAAAAGACTTTCCATTCGGACTAGCGTTTGTGAAGGAACCACCGTAGAAGATAAAGTATGCGTTGGGAGGCTGCTCAGTACCGATTGTATCAAAGTCATCCTACCTGCAAAGGATAAAAATTTTGCCTGCCATTCAGATAATCGATTTTGAACCTGCTGGATCAGGTAATCAAAGTGTTTGATCAAACATGCATCTCCCTCAATATATTGGCACTCCCAAGTACTATAATGGCAAAGCTTTGTGCAAACAACCACTCCAATCCTTGAGGCGAAGAATTTTATTTGCCTGAAGATGTTTTGACGTATAAAATCCGCTCTTCTCCAAACAAATCAATTGGCCAGATGATTTTTCATATTGTTTCAAAAGCAGCCATAAATTCTTGATCGGTGACTTACATCCATTGGTAAAAAGAAGCATGTCATCGGCGTAAAAAAGATGAGAAATAGGGAGCAAACCCCTTCGAACTTTATATGCATTAATACGCCCTTGTGCCTCCAATCTTTTAATATTGAGAGTGAGGATCTCTTGCGCCATTATGAACAGCAGAGGAGAAAGAGGATCACCTTGCCGAACTCCACGAAACGATCTGAAATGCCCATAAGACTCCCCATTAATTAAGCAAGAGTACCATATGTTTGAAAATGATCGATACATAAGATCGCAGACTTGATGAGACAACCCTAGTGCCTGCGTGGCTTTAAGGAGAAATCTCCATTCCAATCTATCATATGCTTTGGACATATCAAATTTGAAAATAATATTGCCTCTCTCGACTTTCCTGTCAATATCGGAAACCAACTCCGAGCTATGGCTATTGACTCATGAATACTACGATCCTTAAGAAAACCAGTTTGCTCTTCCGAAATAATAGTGGGCCAAAATGAACTCAAACGAGAAGCAATGATTCTTGAGATAAGCTTGTTTACAAAGTTCCCCAGACTGATAGGGCGAAATTGATGAAGCGATTCCGGATTAATAACTTTCGGGAGTAAAAAAAGAAGAGTCGTGGTAATGCCCTTGGAGAGGTGGTTGCCAAGAAAGAATCCATGAATAGTCTGCATGAGGTCTGGCTTAATTATATGCCAACAATTAGCATAAAAATAAGCTGTGAATCCATCTTGACCCGGGGCACTGTCAGGTGTCACATTTTTAATTGCTTGAAAAACTTCCTCTTCGGTTGGGAGAGCTATCAAATTTGCATTCATCTCCGAAGTGACCCTAGGCTCCACATGCGAAAACATATCCAAATCCATGTGATAAGGAGAAGCATGGAAGAGTTCCGAAAAATATTCCACCGCCTTTTGTCCAGTAACCTGGCCGTCAGTTGTGAATGAGCCGTCTACAAGTTTAAGAGAGATAGAATGTCGTCTGTCTTCGATCTTTAATCCTCGCATGAAAATATTTAGTATTTCGGTCTCCCTATCCTCGAGCCATTTGATCCGAGCTTTACTGGCTAATAAATCATGTATGTCAATTGTTGCTTAAGATCCTCTTTAACCCGTTGGCAATCAGCAAACAAACCTTCGCTCCATGTGTGAGAAAGCCGATGTTCCAATTCCTCTATTTGAGATTTCAAAACATTTTTATTATCTTCAATATTACCGAATGTGCTCCAATTCCATTGCTTAAGGGCCTTGCGAAGATGACTAAGCTTGCCTTCGAAGTTACGTTGCCCACTAGGAGAAACCTGATGCCATGTATGTGCAACGAAAGTTTGAAAATCCGGGTGTTCCAACCAAATTTTTTGAAAATAAAATCTCGACTTGTGCTGCTGCAATTTAACAAATGTGAGGAATAAGGGCGCATGATCCGACTCCAATCTTGCAAATGGTTGACGGTGAGAGAGCATGCAGCCACCGCCTCCGCATTAACCAAGGCCTTATCAATTCTTTGCCAAATACAATTCCTCCCCTTTTGATTATTGCTCCACGTGAAAATATTTCCCACATAACATGCATCTCGTAACCTAGCATCAACAAGAATATATATTTTTTTTTTCTTTTTATTTGAAGAGAAGCAAAACAAAAGCTGCATTTGCAAACACTCTAGAACAAATAATATGTACAAGAAAAACAATGATTGTTTATAGTTTAAATAACCACAAATTCTACTTTTAATTTTTCCTACCGAACCACTTTATTCTCGCGTAAACATACTACATATTTGGTGAACTTCACTGAGTGTAGCATAGAACAGTCCTTGTGTCAACATTTATAGATAATGATCCCCGTTATAAACGTAAAGAGATTCATGGTACCCAATATAGCATAGACATGGAAACAACGACTCATCGAATACATAATGATTTGGCCCTTTTGTTTTTGTATAGACATATCCAAATGCAATTACTTATTAAAAGAAAACGAAACACCACATTGTTCTCTTTCTTTACAAGGCATTTTTCGTTATCTCCAATAAAAAAATGTCGATCCAATTTCTTGTAATCTCCACATATATATGTATGTATATGTGGGACTAAAATAGAGATTGTACAAAGGGCAAATTTGGGATTATAATACGAATCTACGAAAGAAGGAAAAACTAACTAGGTGCGCTTGAACTTGGATATCAATGAAACAATCCTATCTAGAAGTTTATTTGCATCTTCTTCTCCATTTGAGAAAGGTGTTGTCCATTCTTGATACTGATGGAGGCTCCCCGTGAAGTCTGTAAACAGTCCATCGACCCCCACTTTCTTTATCCAATACTCGTATTCATTATACGGGTCTTCGCTGAAGTTGAAGTGCAGAAACTGGTTCTCGTTTCTGAATGTGTACGGGTGCACCTGGATGTATCGAAAAAAAATGTTACGGTCTTGTGAATATTCATTGCCCCTAAATAATAGAATCAAATAAATTGCAAATGCCAAGAATTTGGTACCTGGAGGTTGTGGGCATGTGCTCTGGCTACGAGGTCGGTGGGAGTTTGGAGATAGTTATTTGATGCAATAACGAGGGTATCTTTCCACGGTCCGATTCCCACAACATATTCTTTGATGTAGTCGAGATAATCATCTGAAGTGATCTCCCAGAATGACTGATGAACTCGAGTGTTTGTATTACATGGTTAGTATCAGAATCAGAATTTGTGTATGTAACTATGAAATTGAGTGCACACACACACGCACGCACGCATGCTAGGATCAAAATTATATCACGTGGAGAGACCAAGTACAGTGAACAAAACACAAATCCGATGCATGAACATCAATAGTTAATACCACCAAGTAATCTCGTATAACAACTAATTAACACCCGGGTAGTTTAGGTAAAAGTAGACTTCATGGATGAAAGAGTTAAATTTATTAGTTTCAATATGATAAATGGGCTTGGGTAAAACTCATTTCCAAGACCTGGCTCAAGGAGAGAGGTGCCCGTTTCATATATATACATAGTAAGAGCCCAACGAATTAGCAAATGTAGCTAAATTAGACGAGAAATTTCACATTTTCTTCATTAAACTATTTATTTAATAAAGAGGGTTATTTTGGTAAAATCACTTACTACGGGAAATTCCATCACTCTGAAATAAGCATGTATAATAATCAACCATTCCCTTCAAATTTGAGATGTTGTACCATAACATTCTCCTCCATCGTGCTATTTAAGTTGATAGAGGAACTCGAACTTTACCAATTTGAGAGTTTTTTTATAATAACTCGAACTCGATGAACTCGAACTTTTACTTGACTTTTATCATAATCTTTGACATGATAATACCAAGCTCAAGTCTTTGAAAAAAAATCAAAGGATGCCAAAGGACAGAACTTAATGCAAATTCCACCAAAGAAGAAGTAAAAAACGACAAACCTGATTTGTGTCTTGAGTTGGTATCGTAGTATCATCAATAAGAAAAATCTTGGGCAGGTCAGTGTGGTTTGATATGTATGTAAGAGATGTTGGTGCAAACGACTGAATAAAAGCAGGTTGTTTCAGCCATTCCTTTGATAAATAAGAACCTTTGTATCCATACTTTTTTAGCGTCTCCACAAATTTATCCTCGAATTTCTTTCCACCAGACCACTTTACCTGTAGAAACAAGGCGTGTAAAACACGTGGAACGTTTGAATATGTTTTCTATTAACAAATCAATCTCGTTGAAATTTTCTTCTTGATTAATTTTTTTCAACATATAATAAATACTTTTTTTAAGGAACTCACACGTTGATTGATGAAAACGGGATTCTTTATCTCTGGATATATTCCAACAACACGGGGTGCGTCCAGAGCTATCGATATGAACTCTTCGAATGTGATAATGGAGAACTTGCCTGCATAGAAATTAGAAAATTGAAGATTAATACAACACAACACATTTTCCTTTTCTTTTAACTTTGAAATTAGAAATTTGATTGAAATCCATCATAATAACTAAAAGATAACTAAAAACGAGAGCTAATAATTCGAATTTCATTATAAAAAGAATTCATCCAGACGGGATTAATGGATTTATTACTATGCCTCAATCCGAATGAAACCATATTGGTTCGAGTAAATCATAGAAGCTAACATCAACCAAACTTAGCCACGACTAACTACACGATCATATGTGCTAAATGGAACAGTGATAATGGTGACAAAGAAGGCAACAACAATTAGCTAATCAAAAAATACACCTAGAGGCAAATGATTGCCTAAGCATTCTGGGTATTTAAAAGAAACCAAAGGAAGCATAAAGGTGATACATAAACATCTTATTTGAAACCAGAGGAAATGCAAGACAAATTTTATCAAGGGACGAGGAATCCAGCAAAAGGGTCAAAATATACTTTCAATAGCTCAAGAATCTAATGTTTGCTCTGTGAAGGCATCAAGAATCTTTTTCATAATTCAACGATGACCACCACGATCTTTTTTTTAAAGTACTCTGCAAAACCCGAAGGAGCTAAACATATAAGGATGCATGATTCAATTGTCTGGATATGGTAACAGAAGATCCTGGAGGATCTCTCTCTTGGATTATGTAAAAATCGAGATAAGGCTATATAAAGGTATTATAGCTATGCAACAATCATGCCCGACTGTGTGGATTTGTTGGGGGATTAACATGTGCCATACAAATTCTATTCTCAATATTGAAGAAAATTAGTGGATGAAGTATGTAGTTACTAAGCATAAATGTCCAACACCTATACACTATTGTTTCACTATTTTTTCTGCTTTCGTAGTCACTAAAATAGAATCTAAGTCATAACAATTCATAGAACACGGAACCAACCAAGTTTCATCCTTTCAAGCATGGAAACTATAAGTTTTGCAGTTTCATTCCAAGATGTTCGACAAGCCCTATCTTTTCTATATTTTTTTTGATATTTTATGATTTCTTAGATGACTACATTGCTGAGATCCTCCTTGTATTTTCGTAAACTCAAGTGGGATAGGTTTAAAGCCAGACCAAGCCAGTCGAGCTAGTTTCTAGCAAAATTGATAGCCTTGCAGAACTTGAGTTCTTGATTTGTTTACAGTTTACATTTTAATGGTTACATATCGATCAGGATTGCCTAAACTATAAGTAGATAATAGCAATTAGTTTGCTAAATATATAGACTAATTAACCGTGAGCAGCTCGTAAGCTTACCTCTTTCGTTTGTAATAAAATGTGCAAGAAAATGGTGAGTATGTATTGTCAAAAACATTGCATGCAAGATTATTTTCTTATACATGAAAGTTGATTTTGTTTTTCTCTACACTGAAGATGGAAAACATCTCGTGATTATAACAGTTAGCTAATTTGGTAATGTACCGATACGAGAAGCAATAAATATCAAGTACTAACCATTATACTGCTGATCCCGAAAAGAGTATCTCTGCTTCACTCGCAATGACTTCAACTCTTCTAATGTGAAGTCAACTGCACGTCGTAACAATTGATAACAATGTTTTTCAGAAATTAAAACGCCGTGCTTTACACAAACAATTTTAGACGAGAAAAATCGCCATCATATTACTAGAAGAAAAATTAATAGTTGTAAGTGATAAATTGCTTCAGTAACTACTCTTACCTGAGAAATAGCCAGTAATATTATCGCCTTGAACCTCATATGTCCTCTTTCGATCGGCAAATTGCGTGTGGTTGGCTACGTCGGTAGTATCATCTAGGGTTACATCATGGAAGCATATAAGCACACCGTCTTTCGATGCCAAGATATCCGTCTCGATGAAATCAGCACCTTCTTCAATAGCTCTCTGCAAGTTCAAAATTTCCTTTAAATTGATCGATCGCTGTAATTTCAACGAAAATGAACAATTTCTTTAACGTTATTCAATAGCATATAAAGTTAAAACTCTATAAATTAATACACCTGGGACTAGGGAAATTCTATTAATTTAGCAAATTATTAAATTATCGAGTTAATAATTTAACACAATTTCACCGAGTCGGGAACGAGAGAAACTATTATTTAATTATCGAGGTTCTACTGTATGTACATACCATGTATGCAGCGGTAGTTTCTTCAGGAATTTCTCCATTCGAACCGCGATGCGCAACGTTGTAAGGGCGAAACGTCTGGATCGGTTGTCGGTTTCTATCATTTCTTCGGCTAGGGAGTGGGTAAAGAACTCTTGCAGAGCAATGAACAACAAGCAGCAGGAAAACTAAAGGAATAAGGCCTGCAATTGCAAGTAACATGGGCTAATTTTTTCCACAATTTATAAATTACATTTGCAGGAATTGTAAACAACGTTAACGGAAACATAGAATCAATTGACAAATTAAACCTTCCAGAAGAAATCACCGATACATACAAAACAAAATACAAAAAACAAAATTGCGCCAGAAACGAACAACAATTAATTCATATGCATTCGTTGTAAGATCGGAAGAATGCTGAATAACAAAATCAAAAAAAAAATTAAAAAAAAAATCAGAATTGGGTGGGTACTTACCGGGAGAAGCCATTGGAGCTGATTTATGTTTCCTTCTCTTCCCCACAGAAGAAAAGCTTGGCACAAATTTCAAGGAAGATATTTCTTATCGTTAATATATGAAGCATTTATAACAAAGTACTCCAGATTCCTTGGCGTGGATCTATATGGGACGATCCGAATATTCTTTGAATATATTTAGTAAACCAACAGTAGCTGAGAATTTGGGGGGAGGGAGGGAGGGAGATCGGTTTCCCGCAGTCAAACCACCGGCGCGGATGGACCGTCGATTATTCAAAAAAATGTGGTGGGGCCAAACTCTGGAAATTGTTCAATCAGAAAATAGTAATTTTACCTGATTGAATTAAGGGTTAATTTCATTTAACTCCTCATTATAAATGGGAAACCTTCATTTACCTCCTTTTTACTATCAATCAAAATCTTCACTTATCCTCTGAATTATATGTTCTACCTATTATACCCTTCTTAAGCTAAATAGTAAATATATTCTTTTTATTTTCAATAATAATTTTCTTTGACTTCCATTATTTAATATACTCATTTAATCATTATTATTATTTTTTAATATCATTTTTTGGTTCGATTATAGAAAAAAAATATTTTTCTTAAAAGTAAATTATAATAAAAAACCACAATAAAAATATATTTATTTTTTTATCATAAACTTGAACGTACAAATTAATTTAAATTTGTATCTTGGATCGAGCTGGATGCAGAGATAGTTGTTCAGCTTCTTTCGCACACAAACAGAGGTCATTGGAGTCTTTAGAGTTCGTTCATGGAGATCCGAAACTCTCTTTCTAATTTGGTGTACTGGATTACACATATCTATCGGGAGGGCAATACAGTCGCTGATGCATTAGCTAACTTCGGGTGTTATTCCGAGTTGACTCGTACCTTCACAATAGCGGAGCTCCCCCGATCTATTCAGCAGATGATTCGGATGGACCAGCTTAGATATCCATCCTTTCGACGATCGTCTCGCACACAGGTGCCATGCATTCCACGTTTTTATATTATTGGCAGCTTCTACTTGCAATTTCTACATAATTTAGGCAGTTTCTTGTACTTTACATGTTAGGCAGGGTTGGGGTGATTATGGATTGTCTTGGTCTATCAAGACTGGACTATTTGCCGAATGGTGCCACACATTTCGCAGACGTTATACTTGTTCCGCTCATCTCTAGCGGAACTGTAAGTGGCCTCGACTGTTGTGGTGAGGGGAACAACAATGATCATTCCCACTCCTGTCATTTTTATTATTTCGGCTACATATTTTGCCCGTATTCTTATAATTTTGATAGATTTCTATTTCGGTCATATGTCATATTTAGCTATTGTTTTTTCTTTGTCAATTGCTATTATTAATCATCTGTTAAATTGTAGCAATCTGCACGGAACTCATTATGTACTTCTTAATTTTACTTTTATAAACGGATAAGAGGTCAAGCCTAACCCCCGCCCTCATCGGGTGTCGTTCTCTAAAAGAAATTTAATTAAAGAGGGAGACTTATCTTTAAAAAAAAAAAACTAAGAAAAAAGGGTATAGTTGATATAACATGTAATTTATGGGGATAATTGAAAAAATTATAGTAAAGGGTAGATAAGTGAATGTTTATATATGGTACATGAGAGGTAAGTGAAATCAACACTTAAATTAATTTTAAAGTGGAATTGTGATGATCATGCATGTGGTAAATGAGCTAAGCCTTACCAATTTGGTGAGCTCGAGCTCAAGCCAATTCTTTTAAGCTCGAGTTTGATCTCATGAAACTTGTAATTTCTGAGCTCGCACTTTAGTTGAGTTTGTCGAGATCGAGCCTCAGGCTCAATTTAATATTTATTTTGTATTATTATTAATTATATTATAATAGAAAGTTTACCAAAGAAAATATGACCTGAAACTATTATTATTATTATTATTATTATTATTATTATTATTATTTATTTATTTATTTATTATTATTATTATTATTATTATTATTATTATTATTATTATTATTATTATTATTATTATTATTATTATTATTATTATTATTATTATTATTAATAATTTTTAATAATTTTTAGAAGAATTTTTAATAATTTTTAGAATAATATTACTGTATTATTTACTTGCAAGCTGGCATCAAACTCGAAAGATTCACGCTCAAAACTTTTGGCGAGCAGACTAAGGAAGCTCAAATACACCCCAAATATAATATTATGTATGTATTGATTTGTACCCAAATTATCGCGGGAACCTTCCAATTAATATCAAAATATTTTCAATAAAAAATATATTGTAAGAACTTTTTTTTTTTTACTTCACATCTATAATGAAAAATGGGCACAACAATAAATCATACAAATTTGACCGAGACCAATTGGTTTTACTCTTGAATTTTCCCAAAATGCCTCATATTGATAGAGTTGATATCCCCTCCTTATAAAGGAATGATGTTTCCAATAGTAAATCGATGTGGGACTATGTTAACACCTCAAACAATCCTCCACTCGAACAAAGATCACATAAGATTTGGGATTTGGGTCTTTAGTGAGCTGAATGTCTTTTTGTGTGTTTGACACCTTATGTAGTTGCCACCATTTAGAGTTTTATGGACGTAGATTGGATTGTTGGGGACTTAGCCGCTTAACAATAAGAACTCTATGTGTTGGAGTTACTACTCTTTGTTCTTTCTTCGTCTCTCTATTTTTACTTAGTATATAATATGTAATCATTGATCCCCTTTTCCATAAGTTTATTTTGTAATAGTTTATTCGGTATGGTGTTGTAAGAAACTATGCTATATTCAAATGAGTACCCAACAGCGATATCAGAGTTTTAGTTGAGGACACTCGTTTGAACATATATATATATATATATTCTCCAGAGCCTGATATAACTTAGGTTATTTTCTATACAACTTCTCCGGACCGCTTATTGTCGCATGAATCTAAGAAGGGGGGTGGCCTAAGATTGCCATGTCATCCAAACCCATAAATTTACTTTCCTACACTTTGTATGTTTGGATAAATTATGTGATTATCCTGTGAGATAACCTGTTGTTGGGTTGCATTTATGTGAATGTTGATGTTTGTGTGCAACTTTCTTTGTTGAGTATTTGGAAGTTTATGTGCAGCTTCTTTGTGCTTAAATCTTGTTGTCTGTGTGCAACTTCTCTTTGCTTTTATCTTGTTTTTTTATGTTCTTACTTGTGTGAAACTAATTCCTGTGTTGCAAGTCCTTTTGATGGGAAAACTGATTTTTCATACAACAAAAAATGAAGGGTATTTTGGTACAACAAAAGTATTTTAAAGCCATAACTTTGTCATATAAAGCCACTGTTGATGCAACTAAGAATATTGTACTTGATGAACTCGTTTATTCCCTTATTATTCTGAATTTATCTGACTCTGGGATTATAAAACTAGGGAAGCAAATTTCTGCAAAATAATTATGGGATAAACTAGAAGAGCTTTATAACGAAGCCCCTTTGCCTTCCAAAATGTTTTACATGAAAATAAAAATCAAATTCAAATTGGATTTGTGTAAAGACGTTGATGAACTCTTAACAATTCTACAAATGAAAAGTGTTTTTCTTTCATTATTTATGTTTCTAAGTTAGAGTTCGTTTATGTATCAACGTCGTGTATTGATTTGTTGTTAGCTAGCCTATGTGTATTCTTCAAAAGTGTTTTAATGTGTTGTTTGATTACACTTAGTTATACCAATCGTGAACAAACATGACAACAATCTTCTAGTAAATTACTTTGTAATTCTAATATACGATAAATAGAAAAGGCAGAAAAAAAAAAAAACCACCTCCATATTTGAATGCTCAAATTTCAACTCTCATTGCAGACAATAATCAGTTTCTTTACCATCGTCTAATTGTGACATGTCTTTATGTATCGAGCATGTGACCTAATTGGCCATGGGTTCGAGTCGGAACCAGTCATTATCCTCCTTAAGAATATAATTATAATTTATACCATTATTTCGTTGCATCGAGAAAATAATTAAGATAGACTGTGAACCTCTATACAAGGCTGTTAAATAAAGCTCAATTTTTCGAACATATATATGCAAGTAAAATTTCCCATAATCCCACTTATTTATTATGTGCATGAATTGTGCATGTAAAATTTCCCATAATCCCACTTATTTATTATGTGCATGAATTGTTATAGTACACAAGATTTCTAAATCTTGAGCTTTTTTGTAATTTGGGCAACGTACTTACCCTGATGAAACGCTTGGTCAAGTTCGAGCTGCGTCGGCTGACGTGAGCCGTCAGCGGCATAAGTGCCAGCACCGTAAGGAGAACCACCCTTCACTTGTTCCATCTCGTACATTCCACTTCCGAATGTATATCCCAACGGGACGTATATCATTCCGTGATGTGCCAGCTGTGTTATCGCTGTCAATCTGCACACATAAGCATCGATAAGAGGATTTTAACGAATAACTTAAAACATACTCCGTATTAAAGTGGATTTTTAAGGAATTATCCGACATCTTAAATTAGCCTCGGAGAAAGATGATGATATCGAATGGAAATATTATTGCTTGTTTACAGCACTCACTTGCCCGTCTTCTCCATTAGAATTAGGCCCCGTTTGGTTGGCAAGATAAGATTAGCCAAGATAAGATTAAATAATCTAATGAAACCAAATTATTTTATTGGAGCTCACGACATCCAACAAAAAAAGCTCACTAGAAGGCAAGATAAAGGCAAGATAAACCAAGATAAGGCAAGATAAGCCATGATTACATAATTTTGACGGGTCGACCCGGCAATTTATTGGGGATACCAAACATCATATTAAGTCCAACTATTTAGTTAATCTTAGCTTATCTTTGCAACCAAACGGGGCCTTAAAGTCAATCAAGAAGCAAAGCCGATAAATGGGGGAAATGGAAATTAGATGATACACCTAGTTATTTATACTGGATGGATTTGAATAGTAGATCTACATATAATCCCACACACACCCATGTGTATGTGTGCTTAATTGGATAGTTATTTAATCAAATCTACAGTTCAAATCAACCCGATGGAAATAACCGTGTAGCATCTAACTCCCTGATAAATGGGATAAAAATAGCACTCGTGCAACTTTCTCTAACTATGCACCATAAATCAGATATCCATTTTAAGAGCACCTAGGTAGAAATTATTAGATCCAATTCGTTCTTGTGAGATCGATATTAGATTCTCTACCAACTAGGCATTTGCATAACGAAACAAACTAGCTTGTCGTAAACTCGGGTAAAATCAAACCCGTTTAAGAAGCAGAGCCAATACTGCAAGCAAATGAATGTTCGAAAGAATCAGTATAAACATTACGACATAAACAATTCAGACACACCCCAAATTACGAGTTTTATTTGATCCGTTCTAAATGTGATTCTCTCTAAGTAACAATTTATTGTTACGACAAAAAATGAAGAAGAGGAGAAAACTTACGCGGTGAGTTCCTGACCGCCGCCATGGAACCCAGTGCTCCAGAAGATTCCGGCCGGCTTGCCGGCGAGAGCTTGTGTGGCCCATATTCCTCCGGTAGCATCGAAAAATGCTTTGCACTGTGCAGCCATCACACCGAAACGTGACGGAAAACCGAATATAAATCCATCCGCCTCGAGCAGCTGTTCGGGCCTAATCTCGGCCACATCATCTGCCTTTTCGGGAGCCTTCATCTTCTCTAATATACGACTAGGTAGCGTCTCCGGTATCTAATTATTAATTTGAACCAAACAGTAATCAATCATTTAATCCCAATTTCAAAATTGAACATGTTTCGCCATCAATTCAGATTAAATAAGCACAATCCACCAGCAATACATCAGGCATCTCCGCCAATTTCACCCAAGGAAAAAAATAAAAAAAAAACAATTAAAAAAATTGACCTGCCAAAGAGTAGCTTCAACATCAGGAACTGAGTTAGCACCCCTTTGTATTTCTCTTGCCATATTCTCCACGTGTCCGTACAGGGAGTAATAACTGCAACACCGAAACAAAACCCTTATCATCAACACAACAAGATCAAGAGATTAAAAAGAAATTAAATAAAATAAATAAATTAGAGTTTGCTTTTGGCTGAATTACATTATATACACCTTGGTGATGGCCATTAATTAATTAACACAAGTACTTGGAATTAAGGAAGTTGCAAAGGAAATTAAATCAAGAGAGAGAAATTCGTTTTGTGGGTTTTAAATTTAAATGAAATGGAAGGAAGAGAAGATAAGAAGAAGACGAGTTTTACTGAGTTTGGAGTATCCGCCTCTAACATCCATGAAAGTAATGGGAGTGGGTCACCCGAATTCGATTTTATCAGGTTTTTGGACTGTTTCGTAAATATTCTAATTTATTTCGGAAGTGAAAATATAATTTTAAATTAGGGTAAATTACATCCGCATCAGAAAGGTACGCTAAAATAACTATAAGGTTCCTGTTGTATTGATAATTACACTCACCACCCTGAAACATAGTTAGAAACTCTAATGGGACAATGCATTGGATACGTTATTACGATAGGATTCTAACGGACTATTAGTATCGGGAAATGGCGGAGACAGGAAAGAGTTATGCGTGATTTAATAAATGTTGGGGGAACTATGTTACCTCCCAACTCTATGTTGTCTCCATGTCCGGTCCTGGGTGATTGGAGGCCCTGGACAAGACTCAAAATCGAGGCCCTAAATTCCGATTATATATATATATATATATATATATATATATATATATATATATATATATATATATATATATATATATATATATATATATATATATATATATATATATGAGAGAAAAAATATATAAAAATATGAATAAAAATATTTATTTATATATGTAAAAATTAAGTATGGAAGAATATATGTGAGTGAGTGAAAAATTGAGTGAGAGAGAGAGTATGAGTAAGAGAGAGAGTGAGAGAGA